ATTGTGGTATAACCTTATGGAGGTTACAATATTTCATAAACATAACACGGGGTTGCAAAAATAACATCCATGCACTCTCAATATATGTCGGACCATAAAACTAGCAACCATATAGTCGAACTTATGTACATGATCATATACTAATCTTATATTCTTTTGTTACCTCCGACATGAAACCGGAGGTTATCATGTAGCTACGTCCTTCATGAACTAATCCAGCCTTCCACTTGCGAGGAGCTACCAAACCAAGGTGAACTCACTTACTTATGTAATTCGGTTTCCCCCAATACTAACAACTATGGGGTATCGTACCTCTAATCTAATCTCCTCATGAACTAGTAGAAATTAGTTAAATTTAAGTCCTTTATATAACAAGTGGAATGGTCCCAAATCAACCATGGGACAAGGGCTACCTCTCGATTCCAACCGTCGGTGTCAAGGCTAGTTCCCGATTCTAACGATCACTGTCAATACCACATGAATTTCAATCAATCTACTCCTCTCTCTAATAAATTCCCGCTAATGATCATACTATACATATTTCTCACATAATATGCATTTTAACAATCAATTTATAGTACATGAATTTACATAATACATCACGATCTTTCACCTATAGTAATAATCACAATCAATTTTGTAAAACACAAAGGGTGGCAAAATTAAGGTTTTCTTTCCAAAAACCATTTTGAAAATTAAACATTTTGCCAATATGCATAATTAATTTAACTCATAATTCACATTCCACAAACACAATTAACATTCAATTATAAAGATTAAATTTTCCCCGTTATCTCAAATCTTTAAGAGGTTAAAGGTTTACCCCTCTCTATATCAATTTTCTAAAGCTTCAACAAGCTTGAATGGTGCTAAAAAATGAATCTCACTACATCCATACCATAAGAATTCCATCATTGTCTAAATCTTGAAGATTTATCAATACATAACTTCACATACTTTATTTTATCAACTGATAGTCACTACCCATTCATACTCAATGGGCTCTTTAAATTTTATTAATGCACATTATCATTATTAACACCTCAAACCATCATTAATGCACACAAACCTCTCCCAACTACCTCATAAATATTAATTTTTGGATAATAAATGCTCACATAGACTAACCACTTTTAAAATCATCAATGTGGTGTTTCAATATATTTAACAACTCCTTTTATATTCATTGTAATCAATGGAATCAAACCTGTAGTAATATGGACTGAAAATCCATCTTTCAACTCAAACCCTACCATGAATCATCATAAATGAGGGAGAGAAAGGAGGAAGAAGGCACCATAAACTTACCTTAGGTGTTTGGGAGCTTTAAAATGTCGACAATGGAAGCCAATACCATGCCCTAGCAGAGCCTAAGTCAAGCTCTTCATTTTTCTCTCCTCCTCTTCTTCTATTTTCGCACATAAAACATAACTAATATATTAAAATTTTGGCTGTGCGCTGTAACACACGCTACCCTCTACCACGGCACATGTCATAAAGGAACCCATTGTTCAAATTTATCCCTATGCACCACGACAACCTATCCACGTGCCGTGACATGTAGCACAGAGGACAATTCTTCACTTTTTCTTCCTTTTTCCTTGCCTGGGTGGCCCGCTATCGATTCAGAACTACTTCTAGGGCTGAAATCACAACAATAACACCAAGTTAAGTCCCTCTAGCCACACACCTCATTAACTCACTAATTACCCTCATTAGGTTAATAAATCAGGATTAAATTTTTTCAAATGTTACATACACAGGGTTCAAAATTATGAACTATATACATGGGGCATGAAACGAAACTTAACACTAAATAGATACTAGTATAAAGCATTGGCATATAGATTTAAATGGGTTAACGCTATTAAACTCCCTTAAATGTTAGACTTTTCACATATTTGTACTTTTTTTTGTATCTCATCTCATTTTTTTGTTTAGTTGTTGAATAATATTTTCATATATAGAAAGTTTTCTTCTGTAGGAATAAGGTGTATTTTTGCTTTTGAATTATTCTCCGAGGAGTACTCAATGTATTAAACTATTCATCATTACAATTTTGCTTCTAAAGTAATCAAAACATAATATATTTGCCTTTAACATTAAATATTTCAACATTGACTATTAAACATATTGAATTGAGACTTTAGTTTGATCAAAAATACCACCAATTATGCTAAATGAATCCAATTTAAGTTGCATTTTTACTATTAAACTATTCTTTAAGAAGCATTCAGTGTCCTAAACTATTTGTTATTGTAATTTTGCCTCTAAAATAATTAAAACGTAACATATTTGCCTCTAACGTTAAATACTCAAATGTTGATTATTAAAAATGTTGATTGAGATTTAAGTTTGACAAAAAATGCCACCTTTCATGTTAAGTGAACTCAATTTAAGGTGCATTTTCAAACTATTTTTCAAGAAGTATCCAATGACAGAGTTAGGAATATATGTCAACTTGGACCATAAGAGCAGGCCCATATGAGTTGACGAAAATATGAGTTGGGTTTGGTTCAACTCTTTTTCATGAGTTGGAAAAATCCTAATCCAACCTAGCTCTCGTGAGTTGGTAGGTTAAATGGTTCAACCCATCAACTCATTTACTATTTTTTATAATTTATTTTAAAAAATACTTAATTGAGAAGTTCTATTATGATATTTCATGCAATTTAAAAAAAATTACATCATAAAGTATGAGATTGATCAATTTCATTATAATTTATTCCAAACTCTACTTGCCTTGTAGGTTTCTTTGGTGCTAAAACTCTCTCCGTTTTCATTTTTAATTTTTGTTATAAAATAATATGGGTTAAATAGACTAACCTTAATGCATTAGAGTTAACCCATTTGAGTCAGGTTATCTAATCCGAGCCATAAAAGATACATTTTTATATGGGTTAATATTTTTCGAACTCAATCTGACCCTCATAATAGGGTATCTAGGCCAACCCATATCCTCAACTCTACCTAGTATTTTCAACTATTTGTTTCATAATAATCTCGCCTCTAAAGAACTTAAAATGTAGAAAAAATGCACCTTAATTGTGATTAATTGGCATGACATGTGGTATTTTTTGTGAAACTTAAGTCCTAGTCAATATTTTAACAATCTACGTTAAGGTACTTAATGTTAAGAGCAAATATGCTATGTGTTGATTAATTGCTACAACAAATAGTTTGAGATATTAGGTCCAAGGTTGCACAAAAGTCTCCCTATCTTGTCCAACTTAGTCCAGTTTGAACAAACTTAATCTGGTCTTGTCTTATTAAAAAATGTACTTAATGGTCTCACTTGATCAAGTTTGGTCATAATATGAAGATGGGCTGATTATACTTCAGTGACGCACGCAGCAAATTACAAAAATTTGCCTAAATATGTGCCGCAAAATGCTATATTTTTGGATCTCTAGACTTATATTGTATTCTTCACTTTAAATTATATTGTTTGGAGTTTGTTTCCGCATGCATGTTTTAAAATTTGGGTCATTTGCTTATATTGAACACTTTGTTGAATTTTATGAATTCGAGTCTTATGGATTGTAATTGAAATGCTTTTATTTTTGTTGGAAATTGTTATAATTAGCTTTTAATATTTTGTGATAAATTTTATATGATTATAAGTATTTTTGTCATGTTCATTGAGTTTATGAAGTTGAAATGAATTTTGCCTTTCATAGAGGAAAAAAACAAAGTGAAATACTGAACTATCTTACTCAATTTTAGGTTAAGCTTGGACCAAACCAAATTATAGGTTATCTAACTCAATCCTTTATATGAAAGAGACTAAACTTTAGATTAAGTCAAAGTCCTGTTCTGTTAGTCTTTTGTACAGTCCTACTGAATGCTCATTGAAAAATAGTTCAATGATAAAAATACACTTTGCCTTTTTATTTAAATACTATGTAGGCAGATTATAGGGAATTGACATATAAAGAGTCTCTGGACTTTAAGAACATTATTTACATAATCAATGTTCCTAAAATTTTGAAATTATAAAAAAATATCATAATCTTTACTAGAATAAAAAAATTTCCGAATTAATTTTTTTTCAAGTATTACTCTTCCATATTTTCAATACTTATTTTTAGCATTTTCAATACTCAATTTTTTAGTAGTCATTTTAGATATTTTATATACTTATCTTCCATTTCAGTATTGAAAAGAATTAGAAGTAAATATAATTTTTTCAGTACTAAAACTATGGGAAATGAGTATTGAATATATCTAAACTTGCTATTGAAAAATTGTAAAACCAGGCACTGAAAATGTTAAAAATGACTATTAAAAATACAAAAGATGTGTACTGAAAAAATAAATAAATAAAAATTTATTTCAACTAAGAACCATGTACTTTTTCTAAAATTCCATGATTTTTAGGGTTCTTAACTGTAATTAATGTTCATGAAAAGTCTCTAAATATTATTTTCCCAAGATTTGAACTTCTCTACCATAAATTTTCTTCATATATTGCATCCAGGATCTTTTTATTTTAATCAATTTACCATATCTGTGCATATTTATTTATTTATTTTTGGATAAATCATATACACGTATAACTACGTTTTGGGAAAAAGCAAAGGGCCCATCGTGACTCGGTCCAATATCCACCTCACCAGGAGCAATGTATTTTTTTTTTTAAAATGAAAATCAAATCGTGGCGACAAGTTTATTTAAATTGATAAAATGACAAACCGGATTACAATCTGATCCGTTGCATTTTATAACTTGATTTGTTTAGGAATGGTCTCCTTTAAATCACGTACTGGACTAAACCAATCAATTTTCCTAAGAGTTGAAGGACATCGAAGTTGACATGGTCACCGTTTTTCCAGATATGTAACTTAGTGGACCATTTTTATATGTTGAAGTTAGTGATGTCTTGTTATATGCTGTTAATGTACACAAAACATCACACACATATCAGTCGCCTCATAACAATATGGATTCGGCCTTGATAAGAACTTGGGCTTGTAAGAAACACTTTTTCACACAAAACACATGAATAATGAATATATAATATAACAGAAGATACACGACGTACCCTTTTATTACTCTCCAAGTGAACAAGAATGAAGTCACCCAGATCGAAACAGAAACAGAATGCAGAAAACGTCAAAAGCAATTGGAGAAGAAGAAAACTTCTCAGTTTTCCTGTGAATGTGATCCGCATGTTACGTACTTAGAACTGATTCTTAAAACACTCAGGAGCCATGTGTCCATTGAATCTCTTGAAATCTCTGCAATAGTCATAAATCATGTAGTTCTTTCTGACCCAATCCAGCTGACCCATCTGGGCATGACTCAGCTTGCTGTACCAGGGATTAGTCCACCAGTTTGCAGCGACAATGGCCGAACACTGACTGATGCTGATTGGTCCGTTCCACTTGCAAGCCCTTGCTCTAAAATGGCGAAGCCTGGCTATGAACGGAGCATCATTCCAATTAGTCTTAACAAGCCCACCTCTAGTTGCCCAATCATCTGCATTCCATAGAGTCGTATACACCTTCATTCCTTGCTTGTTTGGATAAGCAATGCCTTCTTTTTCATAGTTTCGGAAGACTCGAAGTGGGAGGCCATCAACATACCATCTGAGATAATATAATTAACAGTGATATCTTCAACTTGAAGGTACATTTATTTATTTATTTATCTATCTTTTCTTTGTTTTGGGTTCTGGGAAAGACGTTTATGACTTACACAATTTCTGCGGGATTCCAATGAATGGTGTAATTATGAAAATCAGCTGTTGGATCGAACCAGAGGTAAAATTGTTGCTCCCTGTTGCCTATTCCTTGTGTATATACGTTCGTGTGGACAATGTAAGGTTGTCCTGAAATGTTGCCTAGGAACTCAAAATCTATCTCGTCATGCTGGCTTCCCGTGGAGGATAGCTACACAAATTTTGCGTAGTAATGTATCAGATTAACACTTTTACATATATGCGAGACCCATACAGTTAAAAAGCGCTCTCATTTTCTTTTCTGTGGATTTTTTAGATATAGACAAGAGAAATTACGTGTGGAGATCGAATGAGACCATTTCGGTCTAGTGAACTTACGTAATAGGCTGTAACTGTTCCAGCGGAATTACCAGGTACCATTTTGATTAGCATTTCTATACTTCCAAACAAAAATGCTTTCTTTGTTTGAGCAGCAGATCCTGAAAACAGAAGGAAATACAGTTAGAAATGGGAAGCGAGTACTGCTCCGAAATGGGGGAAACAGACACTGGAAGGACACCAAGTCCTGTTTCTGTAGTCAGAAACAGCCTAACTTTCAAGCTTCAAATAGTGCAACAAGTCCTTGTTGCAGCCAAGGTTAGATCCGTTATTTTTATTCAAAAGGAAAGATGTTGCACCTGAAGCTTTATCTAACACAAGCTGAAGATCTTCACCATTGGCCTGAATCGTTGCGTGTTGAAGACCCCAGGTGATGAACATGCTATTGGAGAGCTTGGAATACACTAAATCCAAGTTGAATGCAACTGCAAAGATAAAGGAAGCTGCTAATATTTCATTGAATTTTGCCATAATGAGAACTCCACTGAACAACTTTTTGGCCTATGTTGGTCACAAACTTGGATGCTATGGATCGGGATGGGAACGGCTTTCTATATATAGCTATACAACGGCCTGATAATATCGTGTGTGTGTGTAGAGTTATTTTGGTTTCCGTGTGTATTGACCTTTTCATAGGAATTGACATTGGGACATTCATTGTTTCTGAATGAAGGGGAGCCTATAGAATTAATGTCAGGCATCATAAATAAGTTTGGCTCCTGATTGTGATACCCACTAGCTAGTTTTGAAATTTGATGCATTTATATAACAAGTAATGTTCCGAAATTTATATTCAAATAAGAATGAGATATATAGCTGGAAGACTGAATGTCGTGCAAAGAACTAGTGCAACGGTGCTTTCCACACTTTGAGAAATAAGGAATTAGAATTCAGGAGAATACATACAGCTGTGGACGTGCACTCCTGACTAAATAATGCACTTAAGCCGTGTAAGCGCACAATATTGAAAGTTCTATTGCCATTCGTGTGTGTACACACACGCTGGCCTCCTGGGCGTGTATAATTTTTAATTAATTGCACGCGGTCGCTGATGATCAGGATGAGAAGGTATAAAAGTCAATGAACATACCAAAATTTTCATTTACCCATCAGCTTAACACGTTTCCCCTGAGGAATAAGTTGTATTATATATTATACTAATTGTGAACTTTTAATAAGTAATGATGGGTTAATCATTAATATCAGAAGGAAAGGATTATACGCGTTTTAATTGAAACTAATTTTTTCCTAACTAGTTAAAAGTGTTCCATTTATGACTGTTCATGTGATCAATTGATTATTAAACTCTGCGTTAAATTCAAACTCTCCAGCGGATGAGTACGGGGACCATGGGCTGGAAGATATGAGAGGGGCATATCGTGGCCTCGTACACTGTATGCATGGGCTAGTTTGTGTATTTGCCCCGTGAAAACACAAAGAAAAAGAAAAATCAAATTCTCCAAAAGTCTTAAATAGGTGAGACAGAGTGAAATAGTCTACCTATTATGTGTGACTAATACGTAGAAGTCGGGAGTGTTCATGCGATGTGGGACAGAACCGGGATAGCCATATCGATCTAGTATCTTGTCTTGGAAAAAGAACGAGACTTAATTTTCATTTTGTGTACTGTTCCTTTTCGAAAGTCATTCTGTCTCGTTGGACAAGACAAGACTGGAAAATCCCAATGAAAAAGACAAGGAATGGAAGGGGGAGTTGAAAAAATAAGAATTAGGTAACTAACCACAATCAAATTGTTTAATAAAACTAACAAATTACAGAACTAGTAACACAAGAAACCAACAAAATTTAACTTGGAAGTTTGGTAAATAATTTTAATTCTAGCTAGACCTAGAAAATTCTGATAAATGAAGTTTCAATAAATAATTATTTTTTCAAAAAAAGTCAATGTAAAACTACATATAAACAAAATTGCATGTATCTTTAATTTAATTAATAAATAAATAATATAAATACATATTCAGGACGGAACGTCCTGGCACTAAAACTGTTTCTCATCCTATCCCATATTGATAGACGACACTCATCTGTTCTTTTTTTTTTTTTCTCATCCTTTTCACTTTTTGAAGTATCCATTTTTCCATATATAATCCATGAGACCAGATAGGGTTGTAAAAAAAATAATAAAAGGTGTGAGAAAATTTCACGAACCTAGCCAGTAAAAAATAAAAAAGTTGCGCAGAAGCCTTACAAAATGTATGAAGAAAAACTGAAATAATAAATTAAAATTGTAGCGGACTTGCTCCGAACAGAGAATTCGCATTTGTACGTCGTCGTCGTTCATTATGTGGTCAAAATACAAAAATCAACGATATGCATAACATATATGTAACATTTTGAAAGAATGAAGTATGCCTTTTTAACCTCTTTTAAATCATGTGAGGGAGAAAGGAAGAGCACTACCTTAGAAGCAAAACCAAATCACCAGAACAATAAGGACGGATGCTAAAAGTAATTCAACTTTTTTCACACCCCGATTTGCACCCACAGTCCCTTGCTAGGCACCCCACGGTGCACAACAAACAGTAAGTAGTACCCTGGTGGAGCAACCTCTCCCGACGCCGGTGCCATCGAGGTTATCGTGTACACCCCTCCGGCTCCGACGGTGAGAGTTTCCGGCGGCAGCACCACTTGTCTCTGATTCATAGAGAATCCATGAGTGGTAAAAGGCGGCGCATACATCACCACCTTAATATCATTCTTGGTGAAAGTCGCGGTCCCGTCGGTCACCGTGAAACCAGTCTCAAAGGTCTTCTTGTAATTCAATAGTTTGGTGGATGATGCATCGACGATCACCGGCCGAAACCCGTCAAGAGCTGGATCAAGATACGGAGGGGAGAAGTTCTCTACCCTTGTCTCCGTCGGGAATTTATCAACATCCCTGTAAGTGTTGTGAGTGTTGCTTCCACTAACCCAGATTTTGCCATTAGGAAGCACAGCTGAAGTTGAGTGATACATTCTGGCAATGGAGGTGCCCGCCATAACCTTAAATCTCTCACCCTTAGGCTTGTCGGGGCTGTAAAGCACCGGTGTCAAATTGGGAACGTCGGCGTCCCACCATGCCGACGTACCGTTCTCAGCACCGTTGATGAACAAGAGCTGTCCATTGGGTAGATTCAAGAGGTCACCCATGGTTCTCCTGGAAGGCATCATTTCAGAGTCCCACGCGGGTTCGCGATCGGTGATGACCATTCTGTTGCAGTCTTGGAGAGCTGGAAGGTATTGCTTGAGGGTCTCGGCTATGTGGAAGGCGTCTGGGGTGTTGCCGCCGCAGACCATGACCTCGGCCGATTCGGCTTTGCCGTCTGCGTCGAGCTTGATGGGAAGTAGGGCGGACATGCCGGAGGCGGGGTAGTTGCGGGACCCGCCGGGGAGGACGGGGAAGGTGCGAACAATCTTGTTGGTCTTGGGGTTGAGGAGGAGGGAGCGATTGTTGGAGAAGACGAAGACGTTTCCGTCTACGGAAAGGTGGACGAATGGGTAGAGATTGTTCTCTTCCAGATCGGAGGTCTCATAGAGGAAAGGAAAGAAATGGAGCTTGTCGCTTTTTTCGCCTTCCAATGGAATGTACTCGTAGCTGAAAGCTCTGCGTCCTCCAACCAAAATGAATCCTCCATCTGCAAGCTTTGCTTGAGTTGCATACCTATCACACCATGCAATTAACATGAACAATTTTATCCATTAACGAATTTGATGATACAGAAGCAGCCAAGGGAGGAGATGTACCATCTATCTTCTTTGAATGTGTTAGGATAATCTCTCCAGGGACAATTGTCGCAATCAGAAAGGAATCTCAAGGATCTAGTTCCGGTCATGAAACCACCAGTACTGACTAGGGAACCGTCAGGTGCAACCCCTCCTGATGAGCACCACGGATCTGTCTCTATCTGTACATAATTACAATGAGCAAGCATGCATGCATGCGAATTAATGATCAAGATAAACTCTACAGGTATATATATGAATGAACCATGCATGTAATTATAAAGACGCATGGAGACTACACAAACCTTGATGGGCCTGACAACTTGGTTAGTTTCAATATCATACTCAACCACGTGAGCCCAACAATCTTGCTGCGTTACATTCTGGGGATCGAGGAACTGAATACAATCGCCTGGTAGTGCCTTGATCCTGGAAATACGGTAAATGATGGTATCATAAAGAATGATCCTGTTATTGGCCATCAATTGCACATGCATGGCGGATACCCCAGTGTTGACATTCAACAATTCCCACATCCCCAAAGAAACCGTCTCAAAATCAGGTTTTGCAGGCACGTCCAGGTTCAAATCTTTACCATCAAAAATAGGATTGTTGGGTCTGTTAATGGGATTGTCCGGACCGAAAGGATTGCTGGGTATGTTAATGGGGTTGTCTGGACCGAAAGGATTGAGGGGAACACCGAAGGGATTGCCAATAGGATTACCGTCGGGTAAAGAATCTTTAGGCTTGAGCAAGTCAAAGGGATCGGGAAGATCGGGGCGGTCGAAAGGGTTGGGATCGTCGTCGTCGCTGTCATCGTCGTCATGGTGATGGCGACGACGATGTTTGTGATGAGTGGCATCTACTGCAGCAAGGAACAAGAGAGGGAGGATCAAAACAATGACCTTGTGCAGGGCTGCCATGTTTAATTTTTTTTTTTTGTTGATTTAATTTGCTTTGTTTAGTGAAGTGGACACTAATGTCCCTGGACACAGAATGTCCCGGTAACGAAAGCGTCAGATTGGTACTTGGTGCTAACATGTTAAAAAAGCTTCGTTACTTCGTTTAGTGAGGCAATGCCAACATTAGTAAATGGTTTGGCCTTGTTTACGGGAGGAAAAAGCGCTCGTAAACACAATTATATGTGTCTGGTACGCAGACCACGACGGAGGCATGGACTGAGAATTTCAGCTCAATTTACACACGCACACCACCAAAAGAAAAACATGCATCTTGGTGCAAGAAAAAAAAAAACTATAATAAAAATTACAGTAAAAAACATAGATTTACGCAGCCGTATATTAGGCATTACTTTAATTAGGATAATTATATAATTTAATTTACAGTTCTGAATGCTTATAATAAGTAACAATATCTTCACTGTACGGAGAGATGGTGGAAGTCATTCCTTTACAAGACGTGTGTTGTGTGAATCATTTTTTTGTTCTTAAGCACACTCAAATGAACCAGTTTTAGCAATCAAGACCGCACGTGTAGTAAAAATTTTATTTTGATATTTTAATAAATTATTATTTTATTAGATACAAAATATAAAATTAAAGATAATTTTATAACTGTCACTATGTTAAAAAATAATTTTAAAATTATAACTGAAAAATTATATTTGAATTATTAAAATCAGTTTTGGATAACTCCGTTTTCAAAAAAGTCCTTTTATTTTAATCCTCTCATTATACAACTTCCACCTGCTATTCAAAAGCCCAATCCACAAAACCTCTGACCCATTCATTACAATATGGCGCAAATTTTATGTGATCCCATGGGGTGCAACTTTAGTCCATCTAATTAAATTAAGGTCATGTAATTCTTTTTAATACACACTTACACAGGCTCCAAATACTTTATGGCCCTTTTTGATATGCATGTTTCAATTTAGAAGGATTGAGATTGATGTTGATAATAATATTGATAGTGAGAGTGGGTGTAGGGTTTTAAAATTATATTTGATATGAAGTAATATTTGTTAGGAATACTTATTTTTACTTTATTTTATAATTACATATAAAATATGAAAAGACTATAACAACCTTAAAATTAAAAAAAAAAATTTGCACCCTAGATCATGAGGGACGACCATAGTGGCACATCTTTACTTTTAGTTTGAATGCTTGAGACGTAGAGAATGCAAAAGTGGATAATAAATTCAAAGTTTGAAACTAAGCAACATCTTCATTAAAAATCTTCATGATCATTAAAGGTTTGAAGATTAAGACCGAGTTCTGCAATAGCAAATCGTCTCTGACATCTTAAATCCAGTTCTGGAACTTTGTTTTGTCTCAGTTTCGAATGTAGCGAATTCGGAGAAGTCGGAGCAAATTTGTGAAGCAGATCATGGAAGACAACTTGAAGGGCATTCTACTCCAATGACAACACCTCTGACTCCAATCTTTCCTCTTCCTCCATCTCCTTTTTGTCGATGTTTTGCATATTTTGATTTTTGCTCCTTCACATTTGTTGAAACAATCTCTATCTTTTATTTTTCATACGTAGCTAAAAATTGATCTCCTCCTCCTTTGTCGGTGTCGGAGTTTTATGTGGGTGAATGTGCTGCAACATTTGCAAAGTTGAGATTGACGGAGGATGAGCACATGATTATATGGAGGAGGAGGGCAAGTCAAATTTGAGTATTTTTTTAAGAGGGTATTTTAGTCATCAAAACTTCAATCTTGAAATTAATTTTGCAATACTAAGGGATGGTGAATTTGAGTATTCCCATCTAGATGGGTCTAAGCAATCTCAAGGTTTAGTAAATAATTCATATCAAGTATGTCAAGGTGGAATTACTCTAACTTAATTCCAATCCTTAATATTCACAACTACGTATCAAATAGGGTTTATGAATACTTTTTTTTTACTATTGTTATTTTAAACATTCAAAATAGTAGAGCCAAAATGGGCTTACTGCCCATTTAAATTGAGGACCAACGAACTCAATTGTTGTTTTTACCGGTTTTTTTAATCTTTCCTCTTTTATTTTTTCCAATCCATGCATCTGTTTATTTCTCCATTCTCGTCTTTGTATTATAGTTCGAGTTCAGGCGCTGGGCTGAGGATTAATTAGCCCATGTAGTAGCAGGTTAAATTTTACTGAGACGCTCAAGGCCCATTATTTTGGCCCAACTATGTTCATGTCATTGCTGTTAACGTTACCAGACGCCAATGAGGCAGAGAAATAGAAAGAGAATGGAGGCTCCATTTCTCATTTCGAACTTTTAATCTTCTCCTTTGATTCTTTTTATAAATTATTTATATTAATTTCATCAACATCATTATTTAAAAATATAAAAAAATAAAAATATATAAAATAACAAATATATATCTATATAACAAATGTAAAAGGTAACGTCATGTTACTTTTTTTTTATAAAATATAATTTTAAAAATATTTTTAAACGTTATTTAAAAAATTATACCGTAATTTATAAATAGAATTAAATGCACTTTTTAAAAATGTGTTTTATAAATAAGACATTAGGGAATAATTAAGCTTTAATAATAATGAATTTTACAAAATCAAGTGAGGAGTTAGGCAAAGATTATACTCATAATTTATAAGATTATAGAATTAAATTTAACTGTTGATGTAAAAATTTTATTAGTGAGCCATTTATAATAATTTTTGTAAGTCTTATTTAAATTTGAAAGCATACCTCAACCTTTTTTTTTTTTTATAGCAAAACCTTTGTAAACCTTTAGAACCTAACTTTTAATCTCTATTTCTCTTCTCAATTTATCTAAGGCGTCAACAAGATCAAACACACCCATACGTACTACATATGAACCATTTTTCCCCTATCAGCGTCAGATCATGCATGCAGCTTTAAAGTTGCGGTTTTCGCGGCGTCGGACGTACGTTGATGGGATAGAATCAAGACAGCAATAATCCCAATTAAGTTGAAAGAAGAGGATGAGGAGGAGAATCCAACAACATCCATTCCAAAATACTGTGTTATTGACGAGAACAAATAGCTCAATCTTATGCGTTATTCTCTTGAATTTTATAAAAATACTAGGGTGAAAATTCGTGGCAATAAATAAATAAACACTTGTTAGTTTTTACACCCATTTCCCTCAGTCAACTGAAAAAGAGTAATTCGAGTCAAAATACCACGTGTTTCCCGGTTATAATTTACTCACTTTTATTGTCGAAATATCTCCTAAAATGATGATGAAAACTATTGTAAAGCAAAGCATCAAATATCAGTCCCGGAAATTTGTTACTGTTGCCTGAACAAATCATTTTCATCCGACTACCCTTTCTTTTTTTCTTTTTTTTTTTTATGTCAACCAAAATTTTTTTGTTTTGTTTTGTGTATTTGCTTGAAACTTGATGAATGGGATACATATTTCATGGTCTACATAGATTGAAGTACAGCTTATTTTAAGTTTTATTCCATAAATTGTAATTGTATGTCAACTAGATTATTTTTTTTCCCATCTATTTGTAAAGAATCTACATTGATTATTGTCGTAAATATAAATTTGACCGATTATCGATTCTCCATAAAAAATAAAAAGACATATACAACAGATCGACATTAATGATCAGTATAGCGAACATAAATACAAAAAATTAAATAGCATAAATTCTAAAAAAAATTGAGGGATTAAATTGAAAGAATTTAAATCAGAGAGATATTATAATTATATATCTTAAACTCAAAATAAAAAAAAATCAATTCCCCATCCTATATGTTCCTCGCTTTATACCTCACTGTTCACCATTAAAAGAGAAAAAAAGCGACCTTTATCATACGTTTAATCCCTTTGACCCATATATATTTTTCCAATATATTGAAGCAGATCAGATAAAGGAAAATTTCAAACTATTGTTGCTTCATTATATCTGGAAGGTTGTTTTGAAATATTAGGAATTTCAGTAATTACATTTTTTAAGAAATATTGGAGATAGCGCTGGAATCAGCAAGCCAAGCCATTATTATGACTATTAATCTCATCCATATTAACTAATTTGTCTGCTTATTATTGTTTTCACTGGTCGACACCAATATACAGCTGTTGGTCCATCATTTGGATCTGGAAAAAAATGGATTAAGTGATGGGTTTGACACTGTGAAAATACAAATATAGTACAAACAAATTGCGCCAAAAAAGCCAAGGCTCTGAGTGGGTATTACTATTAATCATTATGCATTAAGCAAAATGATAGACATCAAGGACTCCTGCAAAATCCAGCTCTGCTACTCTTGCTACTGACAAAGACAATTGCCACCCACTCGTCATTTTATTGATTCTTTTTTCCAATTTTCTTCTAATTAATATATTTCTGTGGCTATAATTTCTTTCCTTAATTCCTTGATTTGCTGCTTCTCTGTTTTTCCAAATTAGTCCATTAAATTTTGTCCAAAACACATTACAGTTGAAGCTCCACTTTATTAGAGACTCTCCAAGAAGAAGCAGACAGAGCAAATAAAAACAAACAAACAAAAATGGAGATCTACAATATTTACCCCAAAAGGCTAATAATTATTCTTGCTGAAAAATATAAAACATAATTTCATTGACAGGATTAATTTTTTATTTATTACTTTATGTTCCATTTTGTTTGATTTCGTGGTTGAACGAATCGGTGACAACCTTCCCACTGAAGAAGAATTAACCGAGAAGTTTCCGTACTTGACAGAAAACATCATGCCAATGTTTTATATGATCCAATATTTTGAATGCAGTTTAATCGAAATTAAATTATCTCCTTATAAATATCTATTGTTTTTATAGAACGTTTCACATTTCGATAAGCATGTTTATGTTAAAATTAGTCAATGTATTTTGACATGATATTAATCCAAATGAAATAATAAAATTTGATTTCCAAAATAAAAGGGAACAAATAAACATAATATTTTAACAATTAAATTACTATATGCAAACAAAATTATTACTTGTCAAGGAAGATAAATTATTCATTTACTACTTATCCAGACCATGCAGGTCATAATTTAACTGGCTGCTGGGTTCTTTTTTTTTTTTTTATGGTTCAAGATATCTATTTTGATGAACTCTCAATTTTGCAATAATTGCCTTTTTTAATCTTATCATCGAGTAATTTTTTGAGCAAACTAAAAAAAATTTCTTTTTCAAACAATATTATATCAATAATTTAAGATCTCTTAGTTTCGGTGAAGTAGTTAAAATAATTTATATATAAGATCAGAATTATTATTGTTTTTCATGTAGCATTGCCAATAACCATTAATAGATATATATGCGCTGATCGGGTCACTAAAAATTGACGTTAGACTCCAACTCATCTAAACTTTAGTTCACCCAAACAAAGGACCATGTTAAAAACGAAACTGTCATTTGCTACATTTTGTGCGATATGAGAATGTAGTTAATTAATTTGACTGATCAGATCACTGTGCGATTTAGGTGATTGATTTGTCCTAGACGCTTTCTTGATCCATGGGATTTGACCGATAGATGGATCTGCTGTCACTATAGTTGATCGCGCGTGATGATCTCGTTCCGTTTTTACCAGTAATCACATGATTAAGATATTAGATGTAATTTTCAGAGTAAGGTACATTATTTTGAGACCTTCTCAAAGGCATATATATGTATGTGCGTGTACACAGACACACACACACAGCTTTAACTTGCGTGTAAAAGTGGTCCCTTTTTCCCAAGAAAGAAAAAGGCCAGTCCGATGCTCCGATCGCTTGTCGAGAATGGAAGCAGCAAATATGACATGGCTTGATCTTTTACTTCTTTATTGAAAGTCCAATTAAACAAGAATTACAACGTAGCTCAAAGGAATTCTGACTATGCAAGTTGGTATCCGACCAACCATTTCAGAAGAAATTAAAATTGTTTCCTTTTCCTTAGGTTAGGCCTATAGAGAGAAAAGAGATGTCACTGAATGGGTAATAATCAAACAGGTATTAGTTGCTTTATTCTCTGAGCAGTCAATTGCAATGCTGATGTAATTACTTCAACACGCAGATCTTACATGTATAAAATTGAAACTAGCGAATTAATCAGTGACATGCATGTCGGAAAATTGGATCCAATATAATATTCTCGTACTTCTGTCAGGCGATCTTTGGTTTCTTTTGGCGCAAGCAAGCAATATCAGTTCCTGCAAATGAGCATTCTATAATAAACCGCTGAATGCAGACTACATACGATCTAGCCAGATGCTGTGTCCTAGTTTAGGTAAGCTACTGATGCAAGGACTAGTTACCGAAAACAATTTCTTCTCTCATTTATTTGAGAATTTATGCAAAATGTTGATTTGTCTTTCCAAACTGGGTCAATCTAGCTTGCATTACACATGGCTATCTCCAAAAATGGCACTTCAATTTAAACAAACACATTGGTTTTGCTCGCTCATTTTCGTGCTTCTTTAAGATAGCAATTACTGATGATCAAATTGCACATAAAAGCATTACATTTTCGACAGTTGCTGATGATGATGCACTAAAGAGACAATCTGAGTTCCAAGTCTGGTTCTTGAGGGTCACTTGATTCAGAATTCTGACTGCTCGACCCAAAAGATCCGCTCCTGTAGTTTTGGCCATCTATGTGGTGTGAATGATCCTGATTAATCATGAAGGGAAACAAGTAGAAGACTCAGTTTGAATCAGGTCATATGAACTGTTTAGTATTGAAGGACAAAGGAAAAACTCTCCTTACGTATAGGTTTAGAAAGGGTCTTGTAACATTGGGTTGAGCAGAAGATTGGTTCTGCAAGTCCCATCTGCTTGTAGATAAAGAAGTTCACACATATATCAGCGACAATAAATTCATCTAAGAGAAGAATCCCGATTGAGTGCAAGAAGATTAAAGTACCTTGCTGTGTTAGTTGGCTGAGAACTTCCGTATCTGATGTTCGATCTCTCGTATTCGGGTAGGCCCATCTGCACTTGCAAACCATTATTTCAAAATCCAGTCTTTTCCAAAACTCTCACTCTTTTCATGTATACATATCATGGGAGAAAAGATTATTAAGTAATTTCCGGAAGCAGTTTCATGTGCAAATTAGGTGAAGTTAATGGTGAAATTTGATACGAAAAAGGTTCTTGACTTGACAGCAGGACATAGATTCATTCCTTAATACGTCGCGTTGATACTTCAGTTGATCAAAATAATAAAATACTCTTTCATATTTCAAGACAACATTAAGCTGAGTTCGTTCAAATCTGATGAGAAGATTCTGGCCCCAAAAAAAAAATCTGATATAATGATTTGCTAGGGTTGTCAGGCCAATAAACTTTCCGATACCGAAAAAAACAAGTTGGTCAATACGTATACTAAAGATTAACCATGATTCCTTTGTCGTACAAACCAACTACCTTTGACGCAGGATCGATTATGCAGCATAGTTAAAAAAGGCCACAAAAAATTACTGTGGAATATCGAACAACTGTGATAAGTGTACAGAAGTGGAACCAAATTAGACTTGATGAACATAAAAATCACAGACACATACCTGCACAATGTTGGGGTGGAAGCAGTATGAAGGTGAGTTCGAGGAGGACGAGGTTGAATAAGAAAAGGACGATGATGGTATTGATGAATAAGCGGATTGTGCTCTGGGATCTTCCTGCTGCATATGTTTATGAGAGCCAAAAACTCCACGAATCAGATAATTTTCTCCAAAAGAAAGGAGAGAAGAAGGAGAAACAAGTATAGGGTTACAATTTTACACTGTTGAAATTAGAAGGATAAGGAACGTGAAGAAGAGGGGGAGGAGGATTAGGAGGAGGATATCCACAGTCTATTTGGCCATGTAATCTGATCTTCTCCAATTGAGCAACCCCAAGACCTCTCTGGGGTTGCTTAGGCTTGTCTGAATTGTTCTTCTTTCCTTTCCTCGTCGATGAAGAAGACAAAGCAGAAGATCCACTGCTTCTTTCAGTACTTCCCAAGTTTAGCTCTCCAAAATAACCGCTTCCCATCTTTTCTGCACTGATGTGTGGTTTGGCTATCTGTGAGAGGGATATCGGATATATATAGAAGAGCTTTGAATTTCTGGGCTTTGAAAATCCCCGCCGGAACTTTGAGTTGCAGAAAGCTTTGTGCAGAGAAAGAAGATGGCAGAGAATCAGAGATCTCCAAAGCTGTTTTTAAGCAATTTTCGCAGGAATTATTGCATCGCTGGAGCAGATTGCGAGTAGATTTGAATGTTATATATACTTGGATTTTATGCCCCTTTCTCTCTCCCCTCCTCCCTCGACTTTTCACTCTCGCAACTGAATAATTTTATTTTTCTAATACTAATAATAATGATGATGATTATGGTATTAATTATTTTATTTTTCTGCTCATTTAATTAGTTTTTTAGCCCTCGGATGGGATGCTCTCTCTGAAAGGGATTGTCTCTCTTTTACAATCTTAAATAATTAGTGTTGGTGGACAAGAAGTAGCCACGCCCACAAGGTTGGCTACGCAAGTGTGATTTTTTTTTTATAACTTTTTTTTCTTTCCTATAAAATACTTTCTCTGAATTATAATATAAAATATTTTTAAAAATCTTGCTTGGTTTTAAATAACTTTTATAATTATTTTTTTACCTATGCACTTACTTGTTACTCTTTTTAAAAAATAATGTATTAAAATTTTAATTATCATTATCAAAGCACTTATATAACTTATCTAATGGGGTAAAATTGAATATATGTAATTTTTAAGAAATTAATATTTTAACTAATATTTTTTCATAAATGTGAATTAGTTACCAATACCCTCTATTTTAGTTCAGAGGGAGTATATCCAGAACAATATAAAGATATATTTGTGTATTGTTTTAAGAATTTGGTAATAATTAATAAATATGAACAAAAAAATAATTTACGTGAATTTTAGTGTACACCAAGCCACTAATTTTATATCATCATTTATTTATTGGCTAAATTATATATTATTTGCTTAAATTTTGAACCATATACACGTAACCTCCTTAATTTTTAGAACTTTACAATGAACCCCCTCAATTCTTATATTTATGCAAATAACTATATATAATTAATTATATATATTAATTATCTATATATAATTTAAAATTTATGAGCATTATTTATATATCAATTAAGTTTATGGACTTAAATGCACACAAAAATAAAGTTGAAGGGGGTGTATAATTAATAGCTAAAAGTTATTTGCATAAACCTAGAAGTTCAAGGAGGTTTATTATTAAGTTTTAAAGGTTAAGATGGTTATTTATACATGATTCAAAGTTTAGGAGAGTGGTATGTAATTTAGCCTTATTTATTTTAAGTATATTTAATTTCTCAATTTTTTATTGAAAAATTGCACCAAATATCAATATATATAATAAAATTATCATTTATAAACCATAACTAGCATGACTTTTTAGGCTTTGATTTATGGACTATATATATATATTTGATGGAATTGGCTGGCATGTACAGATATTTTTATCATGTATACTCTATAGTCAGCGAAAGTGACTGCTTGACAAGTAATTTTTTTCCTTTAAAAATTTATCGCCAATATAATACAGATGATTTAATTAATTAAATTTAACTTGCATTTTATCATTTTGATATATACCTGAGCATGTAGATAACAAGACCTTAAGTGGGTTCCATCAGCACGTGGTTCCCTAGTTCTTGGTCAATTTGTCTTGGATGATAATACTCTAAAAAAGTCCCCAGCTGTAAACTTAATCCATAGACCATAATCAAGCGGCTTGTAAATATATTGTGATAACATAAAATATTATTGTTTAAGATCGAATCGCGTTTGAATTACATATCCAAATCATTATAGAGTTTCGAAGTGTATCCGATTTAGGAGGAAATATTGTAAAAGTAAAGATGGTAAGATTGCTTGATTAAGAAGGATAAATAGATATTCGATAATTAATGATAATAATGGGGGTATAATTATTGTTAAATGGCAACGAGTCCAAATCCAATTCGTATCAGTATCAGGCACGATTTGTGGGTCATATTTTATGAGTTGTTTGTGTGGTGGAAAGTGAGAATCCTTCAATTTGTTAACCAGACATGTGAACCCATGCAATTACGAGAACCCCACTAATTAATTAATTTAAATTAAACTACGTGTCATTTGCTGCTTCTGCATAGGACGCACACAGTATTATATTGGTTAACGCATATGAAATATTAATATTCTGAAAAGAAAATATGACATTGTATATATTGCTTCACAATTCACATGATTTGGGGATTTGCTCCATTTCGTTTCTTTTTCCCTCCTCAGTTCCTCTTCTTTTCTCTTACTTCGTTCTTCTCTCTCTCTCTCTCTCTCTCTCTCTCTCTCTAATTTAAATTTTCAGCTCTCTCTCTCTCTCTCTCTCTCTATAATTTAAATTTTCACGCTTAAAAATACTTTTTGTTACCATAATTGAAATTTGGTTAAAAAATATGAATATAAATATAAAAAAATATACTTCAGATGTACTTTCTAATTTCTTTCATCATATTTGTTGGGGGAAATTATAAGATCTAATAGGCCTTTTTGATTCCTTGCATTATAAGAACCCTTTTGATTAATTAATTTAGATTTGAGCCTCTCATACTTGAATAGCGAAATATCTATCCTAGTGTTACTATTTTTAAGAGAGATATTGAGTCCTTTTTACTAAAATAAACCATATTGTTAATTTTGTTTCCTCTCATCTCTTCCTTTTGATAACCTTTGAACTTTGTGTTTTTTTCTTTGTTAACGAGTAAACAATGGGAGGAAAGCATCAAAGAATATGATTGAAAGAAAATGGAAGGAAAAGAGGCACTGAGAAACGTTTGCCCCTTATTTGTTTGGTTGAAAATGAACAAAAAAAATAGAAAAAAAAGAAAAATTACATTTTAATGCATGACTATTCCAGAATTTATTTACATACATGAATCAATATCAAATAGATTATTGTTAAAATAGAACCATTGACTTTTTTTTGTCAATAAAACTTATTATTACTTTTTATCTATAATATACTTTATTTAGTGGTCATTGAATGTGAATTTTTTTAAAAAATAATTTATTATATGTTAAGTTTTAATAATATTCTTTTGCAGGAAAATCTTCTCTCTCCCTCCTCTCTTTTCATTGAGAAAGTGAGGGGTGTGAGACTTAATTATGTAGTGTTCTCTGTCATACCATCTTTTTATTGGGAAGCTACTCCTTTTTGAGTCCTTCACTTTTTTACATTCAAAAAAGTTCTTTTTAACTATTTCTTACATACTTTACTAAAAAAAACTATTTTTTCATTACAAACACATTTTAATTTTATCATATATTTAGGCATATGTATACATAGCATTTTTCTTTTCTTTACCTATATGTAACTTCTTTCTATTTTTTTTATATGCCAGACCATATATATTTTTTATTTGTCAATGTATAACAAGCTTTAACAAAGATCCTGCTTTCCTGCATTATATAATACCTGATATTGTATGTTCGTTTTTAATATTGACCCGGCATGTACCGGAAGTAAAATATATAATGACAACAATATCCATAATTCATCTTCTTTCTTTTCGAACAATCTTAAAACGTTTGTTTTCTTTTCAAAATCTATTTATTTTTAAACAAATGGACAATTTTGAAAACAAAACATGCGCAGACCCATGCATTTTCTCCTTCTTCATCACTTTTCTCCACCCTTCCTAATTTTTCTACTAGTATCCAAAGAGAAATAAATCTATACAATTTCCCTCCCATTTTCTCTTGTATATTTCTGTTTTCCATACTTCTCTCTCAACTCAAATGTTGGGTTAGGGTTGTATTGCTGTTCTAAAAGCACCTCTTTCAATTATCGTTGCCTCCACTTTGAGCTAATCAGTATGATGATGATGATGATGATGATGATGATGATGAATGATGATGATGATGATGATATGAGAATATATGAAGTGATGTGAATCACATATAAAGAAAATTATCCTTCTCACGATTTAATACCTATAGAAGCAGAAAAAGTCAACAATGATAATTTTTCTCCCTTATTCGTCAAAGCTACGAGTTAAACTATATATGTGTTATGTCTCATCAGTCCCATGCTTTTAAATTAAATTGGAAGTTTAAAATAAAATGAGGTAGTTAAATATAAATCGGAGGTACTTAAAAATGGTACTACGAATTCAGCAAAAGTTGTGTGTGTGAACACACATAATTGAAAAAAAAAAAGTGAAAAAGAATATCGAATTTTGCAATGATAAGATGTTGAAAGTTTTTATTTTATTTAAATGTCGCATTCTTTCTTTGTCATCCTTTATAGGGTTAGGCAGGCTGTTTGGCTGATGAAACAAGCTTATCGCATTACGAGTCTATTGGGCATGATGTAAAGCCATGAAATAATACGCACTACACATGATTATTTAACCTAAAACATTTCAATACAATCGTGAAACAGGTGATTGCATTTTATAAATACACAAGATTCTCGTAAACCAAATTATCTGCTGTGTTCGTTGGTTGGGTTTATGCTTTCAAGGACTAATAGAATCGTGCCACGTATATGCCTAGTCATATGGTCGGAAATTTATGTGCTCACCTAATGATATATTATTTTGAGTGAATCAACAATGTGACTAAGGGTAACAATATATCAAAATAATATATATATATATAATATATAAAAGAAGCGTTAAAAGTCACGAGAGAATGCCAAATGTTAATTTTTATTCTATATTTCAATATACTTTTTTATGATTCTGTGTTTTGAAATCAAGTTTGTGGTTTGGTTCAAGATAATTTATTAATTTTTAATGTATATAAAATATATTATTCAAATTTGGAGTTAGGTGTGGAAAGAATTATTAATTTTTAGATGTATATGCATATTAATTTTTATCTATTTTATATATATGCTCAAATTTACAATAATAGATATGTGTTCAGACAAACAATTTAATTGAAAAAGATAATACGTTTAATATAAATATTAACACTTGGTTTGGTTGAAGGAAAATGAGAAGAAAATAGGAAAGAGAGAAAAGTAGAATTTTTTTTCCAAAAATAGTATTTTTTTATCATTTAAAAAACATATTATCCAAGTTTTCCTTCTTCCCTACTTTTTATCTCCTCCAAACAAAGTGTAATTGTCATTTTTTTATTTAATAAATCTTGCATATTTTATTTATATTTCAATCATTCAATGTATTAGTAAACACACACACAGAGGAGGGAAAACAAGTATATTTAAATAATGACTATATGAGGAATTTTTTTGGGGAGGCATAGTCCCCT